AGCTAAGCGGTGGGGCATTTGGCTAGGCCCACCCTCAGCACAGTAAAACCCACAAACCCCAGTGAGCATCATCTGAAGCGTGTCCTGTGCTGTGCACCAACTGCCACGAGACAGACAAGCATGTTAGTGCAAGTGGGGTCGGTGATAATGGTACAGTAGGAAGGACCTAAAGCACGAAGACTAAAATTTTAGAAACTTCGGTATGTGTTGGAAACTTTCTAATAAAATGTTGGGAGAAAGTAACCATAGCAACTCACAGGTCTTCTCATGTTCAGTACTTTAGTATGCAATGTCTGTACTTTAGAGCAGCATAACACAACAGCTTTGATTCTAGTAAGGAGTTTTTGCTTTTGTGTTTAAAAACCCACGGAAAATTCCACACAGGTTATCCACTTACAGGTCTACTGTGAAACAAGTCAAGAAAATACTGTCAATAGTTTTTTTAAAATAATTTATTTAACTTTATTTTTTATTTATTTATTTATTTATTTATTTTTACTTTCCGAGACAGGGTTTCTCCATGGCTTTTGGTTCCTGTCCTGGAACTAGCTCTCGTAGACCAGGCTGGCCTCGAACTCACAGAGATCCTCCTGCCTCTGCCTCCCGAGTGCTGGGATTAAAGGCGTCTGCTACCACCGCCCGGCTATTTAACTTTATTTTAAGTGCATTGGTGTGAAGACATCAGATCCCAGAAAACTGGAATTACAGACAGTTGTGAACTGCCATGTGAGTGCTGGAAATTGAACCTGGGTCCTCTGGTGCTCTTAACCGCTGAGCCATCTCTCTAGGCTCCCACTGACAGTTCTGAAGTCTCTAAAACTCCAGGCTAAGAGAAGGCCTTGCAAGCAACTCCAAAAGCTGTCAACTGAGGGAGCAACAGTATCATTTAAGATGGCCCCCGCACAGCATGGAGGTCATAACACCCCTGGGAGGGACCTGTGAGGAGAGCAGTCAGACTGCAGCGCACACAAAAATACCAAAGAAGAAAACTAGTAAAAGATCTATGGTTTTCAAAAACCTGCAGCCTGGAAAACCAAGCAGGTCAATTCTGAAGGCACCTGTTCCCCCGAGGCTGGGTAAAGAGCCCCCAGGAAAGGTGCCCACACTGGTTCCTGCTGTTTGAGCTGCCATGAGTAGAACCGAAATGATGCTCTGATTTAAACAACGAGCCAGGGGATCCATGGGTCAAGTTCATGGCTAAACTTAAAATAATTTATATATAAATGTTTTATGGGTGAAACATAAGAACATGTATTTTGACTACAGTAAAAATTATAAGTACTCCAAAGTTTTACTTTAAGTCTAATGGGAAAGACCAAGTGGGTTTGGGATTTTGCTGTGGGAACTCCTTCAACCAAAAACCTTTACGATACTGGCCTACTTTGGGCATGGTCTTAAGTACTACATATGCAGACAAAAAGGAGGGCTTGACGGCTGAAGTCGAATCCAGCCCCCCCCACCCCCCCACCCCCGCACACACACAGAGGACTGTAGATCACTACTCTTTCTGTGAGTTTATCCCCTAATAAATTCTGTGAGTTTTACCCCTAATAAATAAACTTTTATTATACTCCATTCTGGGCTATTGAAAACATTTTCATACTGCAACAGGTTCTGTTTTGGTTTTTTGAGAGAGGGTTTCTCTGTGTAGACTTGGCTGTCCTGGAACTCACTCTGTAAACCAGGCTGGCCTCAAACTCACAAAGATATAACAGCCTCTGTCTCCCAAATGCTGGGATTAAAGGTGTGCGCCACCACCACCTGGTAGACCAAGTGTTTTTAAATATCTTCTTCCTTCTTAGACATGGAATTCAGGGATTAAGAAGAGGCTCCTAGGGGCTGGAGAGATGGTTTAGCAGTTAAGAGCACCGGCTGCTCTTTCAGAGCACCTGGGTTCAATTCCCAGCACCCACATGACAGCTCACAACCATCTGTGACTTCATTCTAGGGAATCTGACTTCCTCTCATGGATATATTTGCAGGCAAAACATCAATGTACATAAAATAATAATAAATAAATTATTTAAAAACAGGCTCTTAGATTGATGTGAAGAGGCAGCCCCTCTTCACCACTCAGGCTGTGACAATTGGAGCGGCAGAGCACTGGCACTGACCAAACTCTAATGCACACGTGCAGCCCAGAAATAACAGTCACAGAGAAATTGAGTAACATCAGCAAACATTTACAACATTCTGGTCAACCTCAACGTTGGAAAAGATCTACTTTTAGACAAGGGAAATACCAATCCCTAACCTGGTGTTGCACACTGCTCACAGAGCTAAGGATCTTAACACTCAGCCAATGCGTTGCTTGTAAACACTGCAGGGGCCCTTCAGACAGCAATTCAACAACACATGGTTTGGAGTTTTGCAATACTAGAGATTAATCCTGGAGCCTTGTGCGTGCTAAGCAAGTGTCCCACACTGAGCTACAGCCCCCAAACCCTTTTCTTTTTACTTCTGAGACAGGGTCTCTCTGCCTGCCTTGGTCTCCCAAGTGCTAGGATCAAAGGCATTCACCACTGCTCAACATTTCAATTGTCAGCCGGGCGATGGTGGCGCACGCCTTTAATCCCAGCACTCGGGAGGCAGAGGCAGGCGGATCTCTGTGAGTTCGAGACCAGCCTGGTCTACAGAGCTAGTTCCAGGACGAGCTCCAAAGCCACAGAGAAACCCTGTCTCGAAAAACCAAAAAAAAAAAAAAAAAAAGCTAAACAAAATAACTCAGGTTCTCCACCACAGCATATCACTTTTCCTGGAACTGCCTTAATTGTTGACATGGTAAAGGATATGCTCAGAGCTGCGTGCAGAATCGTTTGCTTAGGGGTTGTTAAAAAGTCATTACACTCGCCAGGGCCCAGGGTGGCGCACACCTTTAATCCCAGCACTCGGGAGGCAGAGGCAGGCAGATCTCTGAGTTTGAGGCCTGCCTGGTCTACAGAACGAGTGCCAGGACAGGCTATAAAGCTACACAGAGAAACCCTGTCTTGAAAAAAACAAAAAAACAAAAAAACAAGCAACCAAAAAAAAACCTATTGTACTCAACAATGTATGCTAGAAACTATTTCCCAACTGTTACAAATTTTAGGAAGAGTCAAAATGAAAACACAGAGGCTGCCTCGCATTGCTGAGACGGCTGTGATAGAACCATCTCCAATTACTAAGGAAACTGACTGCCCCAAACAATCTGGTGGTGGAGGGGCTGAAGAGATGGGCAGGTCAGGAGAAGCATCATGCACGGAGATACCGTCTCTGAAAATAAGGTAGAGAGCCACCACGGAAGAGCAGCAAGACACCAGAGGTTGACCTCTGGTCTCCACAGGCACACAGGGTCATGCACATGTGTACACTCTATCACAAACACAAAGGTAAAACACACACACTAACATACACAAAACAATCCTAAGGCATAGAAAAGTCGTTGAGCACAGCAAACACACCATATTACTTCCATAAATTTGCATGTGCCTGTCTTTAAGGAAGGGTACGCCAATGTCACTAAGCAGATTTAAAACAAACAAAAAGCAGACACTTTGAGACAGCTCAGCATATAAAGTGCTTGCACAGCTAGGAGCCCCGACAACCTACTGAACCCCAAAAGTTGTCTTCCGAAGTCCACACAGCTGCTGCTGCTATTACACTCAAAAATAAAAACAAAAGAATTTCATCTTACTAAAAGAGAAAAAGGCTGAGTCAGAAAAGATGGTCCTCTAAAACTCACCATAACGGCCAAGACTGGTCCCTCCACACTCACCAACTACAGTTTTTAGTTTTCCCTTCAATAAGTAACGAAGTCGAAGTCGTTCATAATTTACATTTGGTAGGCAGAGATGCCTAAAAGACCAAGATCCTTGTTTCTATCTCTGCTAACACCTTCTCAAGAATTACAGTTGCCAGCAGATGAAAACAGACGGACCTGAAAATGGGCCCCCACATCACGCCGGGTAAAACGGAACAAAATAAAGCTTCCACAAGAGCCAGCAGTGTTGGCACAGGGAGGGAGGTGCGGCCAGGGCTTCCGGGAAACTGCTAAATGCGACCCCGGAGTGAAAGAGAAGTTCAGTCAAAGAACGTGAAGAGCTGTGGATGCGACCAGGAAGGCAGGGCTTTCACATCTTTGCATACTCCATCTCCAGAGCCTAACACACACAGGAGGGCTCCAGAAAGGTCTGCTGAACCCTACAGGCGCTTGTGCCAGCAACTTCCACAGAAAAAGAAATCACAAGGTTCTGGCTGGTGACCGGGAAACATGGGACAGATTATTGAGCTTGGGGGAACAGACGAAGTCCCCACAGTTGGTTCTCCAGAAAGGACAGCTAGCTATGTCTACATCCATACTTTGCCTGCTACCGTGTCCCCATTAAGCGCGCGCCCCTTTCTGATGCTAGGCAAGCACAATGCCCAGGCGCTGGCAGTGGGCACGCGGGTTCTTCTACCTCGGAGGAAACCCGAATGGGAAGGTAGGTCAACTTCTGTCCAGTCTGCACCCTAAATTATACCTTCATATCACGCTAATAAATTATGCAAACCGTTTATTGGGACACGGTGTGGGTCTGGCACGCTGATAAGCTCTTTACACGCCCCATTTCACTGCACCTTCACAGCCTGAAGAGGCAGTGACAGGACTGGGACGGGATTAGTCTTCTACCTCCCCCAGTTTCCCCTCACAACTGAAACACAAAAGAGTATGAAGTGACTTGCGAAGGGGGCAGAGCCGGGAATTGGCACCATGTCCGACGGCTCGGCAGTGGCCGCAGCACTGTGCACGGCGCCGAGACCTGGGGGCTCCGGATCGACCCAGCCCTGCCCGCACCCCCGCCTAACTCGGGCACCGGGCCCACGAGCGCCGCGGAGGGCCCGCCTCCTCCGGGAAGGCCCCGCGGGCGGAGACGGGCCTGGGCCGCAGCTCGCGCGCCCGCGAGGCCTCGCCCACCCGCCGCCCACCTCCCGCTGCCGCCGTGCCTACGGGGCCCTACCGAGGCCCGGCCCGGCCGCCTCACCTGGCTGCTTCCCCGGAGCTCGTACCCGGGCCGGCGGTCCTGGGAGGCGGCGATGAAGAGAAGGAGCAAAGGAGGAGGGCGAGGAAGAAGGGACCGGGAAGGAAAGAGGCGGTGTAGCCGCGGAGGAGGCGGGAGCCGCCAGGCCGGGTATCAGAAGAAGGGGGAGACGACACAGACGCGACGACCGCCAGCGCAAACGCTGAAGAGCGGCTCCGGCGCCCGCAGCCCGGCAGGAAGTGACGGGGGAGGGGCCGCGCCCGCCCCCAGCCCCCGCCCGCCTCCATACCGGCCCCACCCCCACCGCGGCCGGGACCACAAGTCCCGGCGGGCGCCGCAGCCTGCCTGCGCCCTCTAGACATGCTGGTGCGTCAGGGGCCGGCACGGTTCCGTCTTGTCGGGGCATGCTGGGAGTTGTAGTTTTGCAGGACCTCAAGCTGGGCCGGGAAAGCAGGCCTATCTTCCTTTCTCTCTCGGCTTTGTGTTTCCCCCTATGCAGACACTCCTTCTTTATGTCAACATTTGTGAACCTGCTGCCGTGTGCAAGGTCAGAAGCCAAGAAAACGGCGAGGGTGCACAGGTCCGTGCTCTCGTGGAGTTTACATTCTAATGCAGAACAGGTGTTTACTGGTTGCTGGCACTGGACCCTAAACAGAGTGTGATTCTGTGGACAAGAGGCTGGTGCGGTTTTATTTGATGTGGTCCTGGGGATTGGACCAAACTTCTACCACTGAGTTCTATCACCTGCTCACCATGTAGGTTTTTGTTTTGTTTTTTTTTTAAAGATTTATTTATTTATTATGTATAGTGTTCTGCCTACATGTATACCTGCGCCAGAAGAGGGCACCAAATCTCGTTATAGATGGCTTGTGAGCCACCATGTGGTTGCCAGGAATTGTACTCAGGTCCTCTGGAAGAGCTGTCAGTGTTCTTAAACTCTGAGCCATCACTCCAGCCCCTTGTTTTAATTTTTTAAAGTGTGTATGTGAGTGTGTGTTTAGCTTACTTCAAGTGTGTGTTATATAAGAGAAACAAGATTGAAAAATCACTTCTGAGTCCAGATAAGCGGTTCCCAAATTTGCTGGAAACTTATTACACTGGACTAGTTCTACATGTTAGAGGGTCAATAGCAAGAAGATGTCACCAAAGAAAGGCCTCTTTAGAAAGCAGTGGAAAAAGCTGGAAGTCCTGGCTCGCACTGCAAATTCCAGCACTTGGGTTCAAGGCCAGCCTATGGTACTTATTGAACTCTCAGAAAGAGACTCCTGCCAGTATGTATATACTGCTTGTAAGCCCCGTGTGGGTGTTGGTAATCAATTCCAGACCCCTTGGAAGAGCAACGAGTGCTTCAATCACTGAACCATCTCTCTGGATCCCAAGAATTTATCTTTTAGTAGTTTATATGTTTTTCTTTATGTCTTTGCCTGCGTGTGTTTTACCTGGGGCTGAGAGCAGAAGAAGGTGTCAGGTCCCCTGGAAAGAGAGTTACAGAAGGTTGTGTGTGGTTGGTTGGGGTTTTTTGTTTTGTTTTGTTTTTTGTTTGTTTGTTTTGTGTTTTGTTTTTCAAAACAGAGTTTCCCTGTGTAACAGTCCTAGCTGTCCTGGAACTAGCACTTGTAGACCAGACTGGCCTCGAACTCACAGGGATTCACCTGCCTCTGCCTCCTGAATGCTAGGATTAAAGTCCTGTGCCACCTCCGCCCAGCAATGTGGTTGGTTGTTTTTCTTAACTCTTACTCTTTGACTCTTTTGGAGGCCCACTACCCAACTCCCAAATAAAGACAGAAGGATCACCAAGAGTTCGGGGGAGATAGTTCAGTTCTTCCTATAAAAGCCTGAGGATCTGAATCTATGAAAAAGCCAGGCTCTAAGGTGCCTATCTGTGACCCTGGTGCTAGAGAGAGGAGGGTTCCTGGCACTCACTGGCCAGTCAGGATAGCTGAATTGGTAAGTTCTAGGCCCCAGTAAGAGACTCTTTAAAAAACGAGTTTGAGCTGGGTAGGGTGACCCATGACTTTAGTTACAGCACAGGAGAGGCAGAGGCAGGTGGATCTCTGAGTTCAAGGCCAGTCTGGTCTACAGAGTAAATTCCAGGAGAGACAGACAGAGCTACACAGAGAAACACTATCTTGAAATATATATGTATATGTAATGTATATAAAATAAGGAGTTTGAGAGGGATTGAAGAAGATACTCAACAATGACCTCTGGCCTCCATACATGTGCACACAAATGTGCACCCAACACGTATACACATGTAAGAGCTCAGGTCTACCCAGTCTTGAGATAACGTGCATGATTGTTATTTTTGGGTTTTGTTTTTGAGACAGGATCTCACTCTGTAGACTAGGCTATCTTAGAACTCACTCTGCAACCAAGAACCCACACACATGATGTGTAGCTCACACAGATTAATTTCTGTTTTGTACATAATTTTTTGAGACAGGTTTCTTTGTGTATTCCTGGCTGTCTTGGAACTAGCTCTGTAGACCAAGCTGGACTTGAACTCAGATCTACCTGCCTATCTCCAGAGTACTGGAATTAAAGGCATGTACACCACTGCCCTGCAGTATGTAAGTTTTAAAATGTAGTTTCCTGTAGTATTTTGGTTTTTGTTTTATTTCTGTCTGTCTGTCTGTCTTTTTGAGACATATTGCCCTGGCTGTCCTGGAACTCACTCTGTAGACCAGGTTGGCCTCAAACTCACAGAGATCCTCCTGCCTCTGCTTTCTTAGTGCTGGAGTACACTACCACATGGAGTCAAAAAATACTCCTAAAGGAATTTTTTGAAAATGTTATTTTATATATATGAGTGTTTTGCATATATGTATGAGCACCACATATGTGCCTAGTGCCAGGGAGGTCAGAAGATGCTATCAGAGACTAGAGTTACAGGTGGCCGTGAGCTATTACGTAGGATTTGGGAAGCAAACTCAGGTCCTCCGTAAGAGCAGCAAGTGTTAACTGCTGAGCCAGTTCTTAAGCCCACGTTTTTAAAAAATTATTTGTAGCCCGGCGGTGGTACATGGCTTTAAGCCCAGCACTCGGGAGGCAGAAACAGGTGGATATTTGTCAGTATGAGGTCAGCCTGGTCTACAAGAGCTAGTTCCAGGACAGGATCCAAAGCTACAGAGAAGTCCTGTCTCAAAAAAAGAAAAAGAGGGGCTGGAGAGATGGCTCAGTGGTTAAGAGCATTGCCTGCTCTTCCAAAGGTCCTGAGTTCAATTCCCAGCAACCACATGGTGGCTCACAACCATCTGTAATGGGGTCTGGTACCCTCTTCTGGCCTGCAGGCATACACACAGACAGAATATTGTATACATAATAAATAAATAATTAATAAATAAATATTTAAAAAAATTATTTGTGTGTATATGTACATTGTATATACGTGTATCATGACATGTGTGGAAAGAAAAGACCCACATTCCTGAGCTGGTTCTCTCCTGCCACCATGTAGGTCCGGGGGGGGGGGGGGTGTCAAACTCTTGTCCTTAGGATAAAGACAACAGCATTTCTGCTTCTTCCTGCTGAGTACACCAGGCTACCTGGCCCACAAGCTTACAAGATTCTCCTGTCTGCTTGCTTCTCATCTCCAGGTCTGCATTACTGTATTTTATGTGGATTCCGGGGGCCCCAACTCATGTCCTCACCCTTCCAGGGCACATCCACTGAGCCATCTCCACAGCCCTGGGTTTTTTGTTTTGTTTTTTAGATGCAGCATCATATAGCCCAAGTTAGCCTTCAATTTGCTATGTAGCCTAGGACAACTTGAATTTCAGATACTTTTTTTTTCCCCGAGACAGGGTTTCTCTGTAGCTTTGGAGCCTGTCCTAGAACTAGCTCTGGTAGACCAGGATGGCCTCTGCTTCCCGAGTGCTGGGTTTAAAGGCGTGTGCCACCCCTGCCTGGCCAGACATTCTTATCTCCATCTACAGAGTGCTGAAATTAAAGACGTGTGTCACTATGCTCAGTTTATACAGCTCTGGGGATGGAATCTGGGGTTTTGTCCATGCTAGGCCCACAACCCACCAAGCAAGTTTTCAGTCAAACATGGAGGTTTTATCTCTCTTTTTTTTTAATATTTATTACTTATGTATACAATATTCAATCTGTGTGTGTTTGCAGACCAGAAGAGGACAGCAGACCTCGTTACAGATGGTTGTGAGCCACCATATGGTTACCGGGAATTGAACTCATGACCTTTGGAAGAGCAGGCAATGCTCTTAACCACTGAGCCATTTCTCCAGCCCCTGGAGGTTTTATCTCTTACCATGGTCAAATGAAATTGCCAGGGGCTCGAGAGATGGCTCAGAGAGGTTAAGAGCTGCTCTTCCAGAGGTCCTTAGTTCAATCACCGGCAACCACATGGTGGCTCACAACCATCTGGTGCCCTCTTCTGACCTTCAGGCAGACCTGCAGGCAGAACACTGTATACATAATAAATAGATAAAGCTTAAAAAAAAAAAAGCTGGGTGGTAGAGACAGGCAGATCTCTGAGTTCGAGGCCAGCCTGGTCTACAGAGTGAATTCCAGGGCAGGTGCCAAAGCTACAGAGAAACACTGTTAAAAAAAAACAAAACAATAGCCGGGCAATGGTGGCGCACGCCTTTAATCCCAGCACTCGGGAGGCAGAGGCAGGCGGATCTCTGTGAGTTCGAGACCAGCCTGGTCTACAGAGCTAGTTCCAGGACAGGCTCCAAAGCCACAGAGAAACCCTGTCTCGAAAAACCAAAACAAACAAACAAACAAAAAAAACAATAACAACAACAACAATTTAAATAAATTAATTTTTAAAAATTGCCAATATTCAATGATTTCTACCTACAGCAAGAGATTTCAATGGTTCATCTTAATGCATGGGAGTGGATTTTAAATTACTGGATTAAGCAGGGCAGTGGTGACACATGCCTTTAAGCCCAGCACTTGGGAAACAGAGGCAGGCAGATCTCTATGAGTTTGAGGCCAGCTTGGTCTACAAAGGGAGTTCTAGAACAGCCAAGGCTAGAGAAATCCTGTCTTAAAAAACAAAATAAAAATAAAATTGCTGGACTGAGACTGCCTGGGACAGTCCAGTAATCAAGAGAATGTGTTTTATTTTGTTTTTCAAG